TTATTTTATACAAAACAGTTCATTTTACTAGTACATTATTTGACTGCATAAGCATATCAGTCATTTGGCCACATTCACCAAAATGCAATGAATGTATTTCTACAATTTAGTGCAATGAATGCATTTCTACAATTACAGTTTTACAATTTTCACACGAGGTACATTATACTTATTTTATACAAAACAGTTCATTTTACTAGTACATTATTTGACTGCATAAGCTCATCAGTCATTTGGCCACATTCACCAAAATGCAATGAATGCATTTCTACAATTAAGTGCAATGAATGCATTTCTACAATTACAGTTTTACAATTTTCACACGAGGTACATTATACTTATTTTATACAAAACAGTTCATTTTACTAGTACATTATTTGACTGCATAAGCTCATCAGTCATTTGGCCACATTCACAAAAATGCAATGAATGCATTTCCAGAATTACAGTGCTACAATTTTCACACACGGGTCATTATATGTATCTTACACAAAACAGTTCATTTTACTAGTACATTGTTTGACTAGCTCATTTGGCCACATTCACCAAAAATGTAATTATTGCATTTCTACAACTACAGAATTACAATTTTCACACAAGGTACTTATACTTATTTTATACAAAACAGTTCATTTTACAAGTACATTATTTGACTGCATAAGCTCATCAGTCATTTGGCCACATTCACCAAAATGCAATGAATGCATTTTTACAATTAGTAACAATTTTCACACAAATTACATCATATTTACTTCATATAAACTGTTTATTTTACTAAATACAGGGTTTTCACGAGGCTTTTAGGTTCCTGAGATTCTCCGGAGTCTTCAAAGGTCTTAAAACCCTCTTGCTCCAGAGTCTAATAGCTTTTACGGAGTCGAAAGTGTTTTTCCTGGAGTCTAATTTTACATTTTTGTCACATTATTTGCGGTAAACTCTTGAGAAAATACATAAAACTGGATACAAACAAGGAATAGGCAGTCAGAAACCTTTTCGAAATAAATATTGGGATTAGAATAGCAAGATAATCTTAAGAAGTATTTTGAAAAGTATACTAATAGGATATCTTTGATCTCACATGGGGAGAAGTAGTCGCGATACCCCTAAAAAAGTAGTCACAATACTGCTAAAAATTTACGGTCTAAAAATTTTCTGGTGAGAACCCTGAAATAGCACATCGTTTATTGGCATTAAGCATATCAGTCAATTGGCCACATTCACCAAAATGCAATGGGGGAATCTCTACAATTAGTGCTACAATTTTCATTCTAATTACATTATATTTACTGTATCTATAGAAACTGTTTATTTTACTAAAAAGCACATCATTTTGCTGCTTAAGCTTATCAGTCATTTTACTAAAACTTACCGAAATGCAATAAATGCATTGCTAAAATTAGTATAACAATTTTCGCAAAATTCAGAATGCTCCTTCTCATGGAACAATATTACAATTTTGATGGCTAAGACATATCTTCAAATAGCTTTTTAATGTTTGAGTAATAACAAATAAGGTCAAAATGTATTCAACTTGTGCTATACTAATATTAATGTGTGGTGGTATATGTATAGTATATGATGCCACAGTTAAGTATCCATATAATTGTCAACTGAGGGTGAAGCTTTCCAACTTGATGCCAGTACCCTCTTGCCATCCCCCCCTCCCCCTGACTTTTCTCATTTGTAGGTTTTGTATGTTATGATGTTGACTCCAGACCAATGAACTTTGTTCAAATAAACCGGTCGGTCATCCACTTTGTCTCCCAATTAACTCATTAGTTTACAATGCACACTTAATATCTACTGAACTGATGTCAGTGTGTGTGTTTTGTAAGTTGATATTTCTATTGCCAATTGTCAAAATACTTGTTGTTATCTACTGTACTGATGTCAGTGTGCGGGGTTTTGTAAGTTGATATTTTTATTGCCGATTGTTTATTTACTTGTGTAATACTGAGAGTTCATAATGTCATATGTGAATTTCCAGAAAATGCAGTATGCCTAATCTGTGAAGAAAACTGAGTCCAGCAGAAGATTAACAACTCTTTCAAGATGGTTGCCAAGATTCTTTTGTCTTCAATAAACCTCTGATTTCAGCTAAACTAAGTTGAATATTGATTCCAAAAGTTTGGCCATGCAAATTAATAAAACTATGATTGTATTCAACCACAAATGAATGCCCAAACACCCATCATATAAGAGAATTTTAAAGAAAATGGCATCACTTAGAATGACTCTAACTGAAGTTAAAATCTATGTCATCATTACGTCATCATCAACTTCAGTTGAAGTCATTCTAGGTGAAGCCATTTTCTTAAAAATTCTCCAATATCGCGGTTGTTTCAGCATTTATTTGTGGTTATTACCATCGTAGCTTTATTTATTTGCATGGCGAAACATTTGGAATCCAGATTCAACTTAGTTTAGCTGAAATCGGAGGTTAATCGAAAACGAAGGAATTTGGGCAACCATCTTGAATGAAGCTAACTGCAGTTAGGGTCATCCAGCTGTGGAACAGTGAACACAAAGTTCATTTACAGGTCCATTCCATGAAGATCAGTCCAGGTAAGATATTTACTGAATATGATTAAGTTGATTTAAATAATCACTAGGGCAGATCATTTGTACTGAAAGGAGTGTTTTCAGTACAAATATGTACTGAAAAATGTACTAGTTTTGTTTCAGTACAAATTTAAGTATAATTTTGTACTGAAAAATGCACTGAATTTTTTTCAGTATATTTTTCAGTACAAATTCATGTACTGAAAAATAAACTGAATTTTAAGTACAAATTTAAGTATAAATATGTACTGAAAAATGTACTGAATTTTAAGGACAAATTTAAGTGCAAAAATATACTGAAAAATGCACTGAAAATTTAAGGATAAATTTAAGTACAAATGTATACTGAAAAATGTACTGAAATGCAAATACTTAAGTGCAAAAGTCAGTATAAAAATGTACTGAAAAATATACTGAAATTTAAGTATAAATATATGCAATGAGAAATATTTGTGCCCAATAATGGAAATAAGAGAAAACGTAAATGTAAAGCATACTTTATGAACTCTAAATCACTCAAAAAGTTCTTAGAATGGTGAAAAAGTGCATGATTTTAAAAGAATTTTTGGCCGGGGGGGGGGGGGGGGGGTTCGCTTGGACCCCTGAAACCCCCCCCCCCCCAACAGGAATGCTATTACATTATGAAATTATTTTGGATGCTTCCTTTACAGCAGCCTTTAACCAAACTTAAAAGAGTCTCTCTGTAATCAGGTTTGTTTTGCCTTGTCAAAACATTTTGTTTTGTTAGTGGATTAATAAAGTTTCTTTAGACATATCCTTTAAAGCAGACTCTAATCAAACTGGAGAGGCTAGGTTTACTGTAATCAAGTGATTTCCTTTTTAGAAGTTATGTTTATGGATTTATTAAAAACGGCCTAAATCACTCAAAAAGTTCTTAGAATGGTGAAAAAGTGCATGATTTTAAAAGAATTTTTGGCAGCAGGGGGGGATCGCTTGGACCCCTGAACCCCCCCCCCCCCCCCCAGGAATGCTATTACATTATGAAATTATTTTGGATGCTTCCTTTACAGCAGACTTTAACCAAACTTAAAAGAGTCTCTCTGTAATCAGGTTTGTTTTGCCTTGTCAAAATATTTTGTTTTGTTAATGGATTAATAAAGTTTCTTTAGACACATCCTTTAAAGCAGACTCTAATCAAACTGGAGAGGCTAGGTTTACTGTAATCAAGTGTTTTCCTTTTAATAAGTTATGTTTTTGGATTTAATTATTTAAGACGCATCCTGTAATAATATCTGATTGCATTTTCTCCATCAATAAATTTATTTTTAGCCCGATCAAACCTATCAAATATAATGCATATATAAGGGTTATGTACTGGGAGGTTTTGGATACCCATATTTCCTGAGGGATAAACCCTTTATTTAAAACTGATCGTACATAACATGTGTATTCCATACCTTTTGAGGTTTCTAGATACATTCTACCTTATTAAGTTCTAAAATTCAAGGTACACATTTTCTCAGTCTTAAAAATAAGTTTTTCATGAGATTTTCACTCATATTGCTTGAGCAAATTAATTAATTCATCAAAATTAAAATATATAACATGAACATAGAACCTCATTTGTTCGAGTATAGCAAAATCCATGGTATAGATGTCAAAGTCAGGAAGATGTCATAATTCAAAATCTAAGTATATTTTCAGTATAAATTTACACTTAGATATGCCCTTAAATTTCAGTATATTTTTCAGTACATATTTGCACTTAAAATCACACTTAAATTTCAGTATATTTTTAAGTACATATTTGCACTTAAAATCACACTTAAAATTCAGTATATTTTTCAGCATAAATATATACTAAAAAATGTACTTAAAATTTCAGTACATTTTTCAGTACATATTTGTACTGAAATTTGCACTGAAATTTTAAGTATATTTTTCAGTACATATTTATACTGAAAAATATACTTAAAAATTTAGTACATTTTTCAGTACATATTTGTACTGAAAACGCTCCTTTCAGTACAAATGCTCTGCCCTAGTGAACACTTGTAGTTTTATAAGGAATAGAATGACAAGTTGTATTGATCCATTCAGTCAATGGTTAAGTTCACATAAAGAAGAGAGGTCAAATAAAAAGATGAAGGACTTGCTAAGTATCTGCCTAGACAAGTTTTTGACAAAATAAAGGATAAATATCACAAGATGTCATTGAAAAGGATTGGCAGTCAAGTAGCTAACTTGTAGAAAATACCTTTTTTCATGCTCCAAAGCACTGCAACACTATCAGAGTAGGTCCAGTTAAAGTTCCTAGTGAGCGAGGTTAAAATATATGAAGCTAACCAAGTAAGCATACATTAATGAAATGATGCATTTTCAGGCATGTAGTAAGGCTTTATTAACTCATTGCTGGCCAAAGCTATTTTTGAGGTTTTGTGCCATTGTGAAGTCAATGACAATATATCTCAATTGCACCAACCATGGTCCCCTAGTGACACTTACAATATTTTGTAAGATTATTGGTATAGATGGTGTGCCATACATGATTGAACAGCACCCTGAGATATGTACGGTTGGTTAGATGCAATTATGACGTCATAGATGAAATATTTCCAGGTTTGTCAGCAATGAGTTAACCAAATGATTTCTTGTTTAATTGACAAGTGACACCATGCAGTATGTTAGCATTGACGATATCCAATAAGATGCTCACCTTTTTTACATAAATGTTTAAGGGAATATACTGTGAAAAATGTACATCGGTATACTGTGACAGTGAAGTACTTTAAATACATAGAAATGAAGGAATATAATTATATGATGTATAAACCACTGTCGAAGCTAATATACAGTTGCCAGGTTGCGTGATTTACAGAGTATGTCCAAAATTTAGAAAGGGGGTCTGAGTTTGGGTAGATATGGGGGAAAATAGGACAAAGAGACAATAAAATATCCTTATGCCAAACTAGGCAGACTGCAAGAGAATTCATACATGTGTGTTATAAATTGTTTAAGGTAGATTCTTTCTATGTCACTTTTTTCTTTTAGTTCCTCATATATTTCTCTTCTCCTCTGCCAGTCTGATCCAATGGTCTAAATTCTGAATATCAGGATGATCATTATTTGAATGTACCTGCTTGAATATGACAAGGCTCTTATTGTAGTAGTTCATTGCTACTTTATATTCCCCCATAGCATAATATACAAAACCAATATTGGCCAATGAGTTAGCAGTGCTAGTGTGAGGATGATCACCATGAATCAGTTTCTTCATGGTCAGACTCTCCTCATAGTATTTTATAGACTTGTCATAGTCTCCTTTAGATTGATAAGCAATACCAATATTATTTAATGAATTTGCTATGTCAGTGTGAGGATGATCACCATGAATCAGCTTCCTGATGGTCAGACTCTCCTCATGGTATTTTATAGCTTTGTTATAGTCTCCTTTAGATTGATATGCAATACCAATATTATTTAATGAGGCTGTTATATCAGTGTGAGGATGATCACCATGAATCAGCTTCATCATGGTCAGACTCTCCTCATGGTATTTTATAGACTTGTTATAGTCTCCTTTAGATTGATATGCAGAGCCAATATTATTTAATGAGGCTGTTATGTCAGTGTGAGGATGATCACCATGAATCAGCTTCATCATGGTCAGACTCTCTTCATGGTATTTTATAGACTTGTTATAGTCTCCTTTAGATTCATATGCAGTACCAATATTATTTAATGAGTCTGCTATGTCAGTGTGAGGATGATCACCATGAATCAGCTTCCTCATGGTCAGACTCTCTTCATGGTATTTTATAGACTTGTTATAGTCTCCTTTAGATTGATATGCAGAGCCAATATTATTTAATGAGGCTGCTATATCAGTGTGAGGATGATCACCATGAATTAGCTTCTTCATGGTCAGACTCTCTTCATGGTTTTGTATAGATCTGTTGTAGTCACCTTTAGAGTCATATGCAATGCTGATGAGGGATAATGAGTTTGCTAACCTTATGTTATGATGGTCCCCATACAATTGTTTCAACAGTATCATACTCTCATTGATGTATTTTATTGCTATATTATACTCTCCTTGTGATAGATACACTCTGGCTATGTTGTATTTCACATCACTTAGCTTAATTTCATGACCTTTTGTTGTGAGTGATTCGATTCTTACCTCTTCTTGTTTAAATGTTTCAATTGCACTTTTAAGGAAATTCATGTTTTTATACAACTCAGCTTTTATTCTGTAACTTGTATCTATACCTTTGTTTATATTCAAGAGTTCTTTCTATTTTTAAATGTTGCAGAAATCCTGACCAAGGTATAAATGTCATGAAGAATCTGAATATTGCTGTGTAATCCCGAACAGAAATCATGTTTGAATAATCAACTAAGTTCCCTTTTGTTTCAATGTTTGATCTTATAATGAATGATATGAGATCCTGTTGTTCGCCATATCTGCCATAGACAAGATGGCGCATGTTAGTAACTATACAAGTCATTATTTGTAAATCTTTCATTGCTCGCTCAGTGAGGATTTTCCTTTGATGTAATTCCTCAAGTATATCAAGTGGGGAAAATGACTGACAGTTATGTAAAAGCTTCAATATGTTAATTGAGATTGTTGCAAACCTGTATATAGTGTGTTTTGTGTGTATTTTTTTACTAAATGACTCTGGCGCAAGAGGATTTCTAATGTAATTTTCTAAATCCTCTGTCAGTGTTTCCAGTCCTCGTCCCCTGCCTATTGATATATTTGGGTTATTGGCAGAAGGTGATGCTAGTATTGTGTGAACCTTGTTATTGTATTGTTCCCAGAGTGCAAGGTCTCCTTTTATAAGGGTGGATGTGAGAAGAACATCACTGAGATGATACCCTTCCTTGATGGACACATCTTCTTGCTGACACTGAGCCATCTCTTCAACAGTCATTATCAGTTCTAGACCTGTACATTTGTTAGGATTTTGTGTTGATTGCCTACCAAATGGTGTCTTGCTTGCTTTTGGCTGGGTACCATCAAAGCTCAGACCTCTCTTTGTGATTGTGTCATAAAAGTCATTGTTTTTCAAATGTTTAGGGAGTTTGTCATTAAAATCATTAAGAACTGGGATGTCAAGATTGTTAATCAATGTCTCCCCAAGATTTATTATCTTCATATGGAAATAATGCACAAGAGTTCTGAATTCTTGCTTTATTTCTTTGATTTCATTCTCTGTTTTGTCACCTGGGTCATACAGAATGGCTGACTCAAGATCTGACCAGGCTGTCGCCTCCTTTTGAGCCAGCGATCCTAGACCCAAAATCGCATACTTGCACTTTGGTGCTGCAAGGACTGATATGCAATCACCAAGCATTGTGTTATATAGAGATATAATGAACTCTATCAGTTTATCATAATAAGCTTTGCTATGAGCAATTGTTTTATCTTCATTTTCAATAGTCATTTCAGATGTGACACTGTCAATTTGCATATCATTAATATGAATAGCATTAACAGTCTCATTGGAATATTCCCTTAATTTCTCAATTTCTTCTTTGTATTTCTTTGTACAACTCAATGTTGGTTCAGTGTTTTCTTTACATACAGTTTTCAGAAAGTCGGTCTCTATTTGTTGCAGTTGTTGGTTTATATAGTCAACATTACAATGACTATCTGAGTTTGTTACCTGATCGTTTTCAATCCGTTGTTTCGCAGAATTAAAGAGTGCTGCAGCCCAATTAAAGTGCCAACCATCAGCTGTTTCTTTCCCTAGTTCTGCATATTCATTTCCAAGCTTACACATCAGTTCAGCTTGTTTGGTCAGCTCTCCATCCTTATTGCATGCTACAATCTGATGGCCCAACTCATGCATGGCATCTGTAGCCTCTAAAATGAACAGATACAAGTATATAAATGTTTTCTGTTACCTCTAAAATAACGAAAAACAAGTACTGTATGTCAATGGCATCTATAACCTCTAAAATAACCAAATACAAGTATACTTATGGCATCTGTGACTTCTTGAATAACCAAATACAAGTATACTTATGGCATCTGTGACCTCTAAAATAATTCAATTCAAGTATACTTATGGCATCTGTGACCTCTAAAATAATTCAATTCAAGTATGTCACTGCATTTGTGGACTCAACACTGTAATATATCAATTGTATCTCGAGGCTCTCAAAAATAATCAAATTCAGACAAATCAATGGTATATGTGTCTTCTTCAACAATCAAATTCAAACAAATCAATCGTATATGTGTCTTCTTGAACAATCAAATTCCATCAAATCAATAGTATATGTGTCTTCTTGAACAATCAAATTCAAACAAATCAATCGTATATGTGTCTTCTTGAACAATCAAATTCAAACAATTTAATGGTATTTGTGTCTTCTTGAACAATGAACAATCAAATTTTAAAAAATCAATCGTATATGTGTCTTCTTGAACAATCAAATTCAAACAAATCAATGGTATATGTGTCTTCTTGAACAATCAAATTCAGACAAATCAATGGTATATGTGTCTTCTTGAACAATCAAATACAAGTTCATCAGTAAATCTTTTTACCTAGTGGGTTTGGCCCTGGGTTGGTTTCAATCCCAGCTCTCATCAAAAGTTGTTGTATCAATCGTAAGGAGACAGGGCTGTTTCTGTATGCTGAGGGGTCTCTGTTTGCAGAGTGTCCTCGATGGATAAACATCCCTATGGCTCCGCGCCACTGTTCTGTTGAAATACCCATGATTCAGAGTCTCCTCTCCAAATAGAATATGTCAGCTTGGCATTATAATCATATGGTTGAAAGTCCCTTTACGGTTCTGGGCTGAGTCACTGTTTTGACGATTGTTGTGATGTATTACCCATGCTTCAGTGGAATTGCCTCAACTACAAGTATAATGTGTTAATATGAGATTTTTTTAGTTTTGTAGTCAAGTCATGTCCTCATAGCAATTCAGATAATAAAGTTACCTTTTGATTTGATAATCAATCAAGTTTATTTTTAAAGTTTCATTTTGCCTTGTCACTCCAGATATCATACAAAATACTAATCTATGTAGTCTCAAACCCTGGGAAAACTAGTCTTATAGTAGACTAGTGTTATTAAATTACATACTGCTATAGCTGAATAAATGGTGCCATATCCTGACAATAAATGAAAGTCTATAGAATAGTCTACACTGTTGCTCATAAATATGGAATATTTTCCAATTCACCATTGATTTCAATGTATTCTGTGCCCCCTCCAATTTAAGTGAATGGGATTTTCAAATATTATTTCATAGACCACAGTCAAGAACTCATTTGTGATTAACAATATATTTCATTTCTCAGGAATTAATCTACCAGAATCTGTTGAAATCTTGGAGAATATTTTTGGTAAAAAGAGTGTATTCTCGGCATATATTTTACTGATTTTTCTGATATGCCTAATATACCATATTTATGAGCAATGGTGTTGTTAAAATGGGGATTCCCCTTAAATATTTGCAGCAGTAATTTCCAGTTGTCACTTTTTATATTATTTTTTTATGTTATTAATGTAATATTTATTTACTTATGCCACTTATTTTGGCCAATTGGCAGTAGGATGCTTAATGAGTTGACTCATAGAATTTACCTACTATAAAGTATACTGTGAACTAAAGCTAACGATTGTGAAAATTATAAACTGCTAACATTATGTCTCAAAGGAAATAATAGGCACAAAGGGTAACTCCATAAAAACAAACAAAGTCCATGTAATTCAAATGCCCATGGAAAAACAACCTATTGATATAACTAAATTATGAATGTATTTCTCATATAATATTTCACTGCGGTCCTTTAATTGCTTATTTTCTAGGTAATTCTAAACCAATTTTGTTTTTTACTTGATTGTTCATTATTTAGCCTAGATCTAGTTTTTTTTATTGAATTAGGGTTCAACCATTATACAGAAAAACTGTAAAAATACAAACCTGACACCTTGTTCATTCTATAATTAAATGTTTTGATAGAATGAACAAGAGTCTTGAAGATGCTTGATATTCTAGCTGATTGAATATAAATGTCCCTGCGTTATGTTTTCTTGATCATTGCCATTTTGGATTCTTCCTAAAATGGGGATTCCCCACAAAATACAACTCTGTAATTCCCAGGTCTCATATTAGCTTGTGGTGCCATCTTTATGTTTGCTTGAAATTTTAATTCATGTGTACTTCATTTGTATTTCATTATTGCAGAGCTGTCAAGTGTCCCGCGAATGGTCGGGATTATCCCGCGAATTTGATCAAAATTTGGCTAATTCGCGTGTCCCGCGATGTCCCGCGAAGTCCCGCAAATGTCGGCTTTTACCTCCGCAAATTTTCAAAATTGTAACAATCCCCGAGGCTAAGTAATTGTGATTATCTTGTGATATACAGTGTAAGAAGCTAAAGGGTACACCCCAGTTGTCAGAAACACATTACTCCGAAAAATATAGTCATAATTTACCAGAGAAAGGATGGATGCATTCTGATGTTCTCTCTCTCTCATTTAGAATTGCACCCATTACATGGTGCTACTAGAATGCCAGGAACGGGGGATTTATTTTATTTTGTGATCCTAAAAGCGGTTATTAAAACACAATATATATTACGGAACAGTTTATCTTAACTTCTTCAATCTCTTTTTTTATAGGCAAAATAAAATGAAACATTTTGAAACAGATAAAATAAGTTAACGCATAGAACTTTAAAAATAAAACAGTATACAATATTACGTTGTCAAAATATTTCGTCGCATTTAATTTCTTAGTCTCTGTCTCTTATCAAATCGTAAAAGAACAAAACATTCTAAACCTAATCACTTGGGATTTATTTTTCGGCCTTCGTTTCCGGCATTTGTTTTTTATTTTCTTCTCCTGAACTGTATTTGCTTGACAATAATCAGAGAAAGTGCGTATAAGTATTTTGCGTGGCATATTCTGTCACGCAAACAAACGGGTGTGACTTCAATTTTTTTAGAGGCTGACGGTAATTCCGGTTATACGGTTTCGGTACGGAATTGAACATTTACCGGTATTGAAATTATTAACCGGTTAACCGACAATAATCCCCGGGGAAATAAAAGGCACGTCGTTTTTTTAATTATTTCGTTTAATTTCCACCATGCGTACATTTACATAGACATTTAGATGTCCATGGCAGTTCACGTGTGATTTCCATGTTTGGCAGTTCAGGTGTGATGTCCATGTTTGGCACTGAGTTCGGGTGTAGTAGCTTCATGCTCAGGCTCAGATTTGGTTGTTTGGCAGTTCCGGTGTAGTTGTAGTGTCAACGTCAGATCCAGAAACTGAATTATGTTATAGTCATTTACGAACAACAAGGCATTTACAACCTCAGGTTGAAGTCGTGCCCGTGATGGTGTTGTATGCTGCACTGAACTGACGTTCACTTGACACGGATGATGCAGGAATTATGATATGTTTCAGCCAAACTCGCCACATCAGGATATTTGAAATGTGTAATACATTTAATTTAAAACTAAAAATACATCTTGATTCGTAAGATAGTTACATATTGCTATTCCGTGAAGTTCATCAGTACGGGTTCAAATCGGTCTTGCACCTTGTATGCATACAGACTTGAGAAGCTACGGAGAGAGTTAGGAACAAAGTGGGAGTGGCAGCGCATTGGCATTTTATCTTACATATTTTTACCGGTATTTCGGTAACGGTACGGTTATTAGCGTGACGGTTACCGGTACTGGTTTTCAGTACCGTTGCGACCTCTAAATTTTTTGTCTCTCTGAGGTCGTATTGGGAACGAGGTAGAATTAAAGAATTTTATGAACGAGTCATGCAAGATACTAGAACTAGTAAAGTAATTTATTGGATAAGTTAATTTCTGAAGGATCTAGATAAAATATGTTTCAAAACTTTGTGAACACTACATAACTACATTAGGCAGATATAGTATCTTGATATATTTCGCTATCATGCGTTTAAAATACGTTCCTAAAGCTATGAAGACGTTAGGTGAGAAATATTGCTATTGTACGAGTACGTTCGAAAAGTATTTGGTTGTATTTTCTAGTTCTCAAGTTACCCATGAATTTTCGTAGGCTAAACATTAAACAATTAACGTATTGACTTAGCATATTTAGCCTAATTTTGCAATGATGTCACCGTGATTCCAATGTTATGTTGTCGTGACTCGCAGAGGTTGTGACAAGATTCGCTTAAAGAAATTGTATTTTTAAGATAAGATCCCCTTATTTTCGAACAACTGGGACAACTGGGTTTCGGAAAACTGGTCGGATTCGGAGAATTGGGTTTCGGACAACTGGGTTGACCCCTATAGACCCCTATATGAAAAGGTACATTTTAATATATAACACAATGGGGGGTAAATGTTTCATAGTTGGTCACGAATGCCATAAGTGCAAAGTATTGTTCAGAATTTTTGAATTTCGTGTTGGATTACGGTACTCACAAGTGTGGTTTCTTGATAGTTTAAAGGTGCAACAATGAGTGCAGAGGGGCCATTCAACGATCATGGAACAGTGTCTAAATATATTTAAGTTTGGCTATTTCTTCAAGACTAACATATACTTTTATTAGTTCGAAAGAAACCCCCTGGATGAACATTATTTCAGCCGATATTCCCCAAAATGGTGCATCTTAAAAATCTATAAGTGGGACTCCCTTTATAGAAGCTTTGAACTGAATTTACACTTCTTAATGCTGAAATTGATAGTTTATCCATACATTTTAAGAAAATAGGTATGTCAAAGAATATGTTAAGCCAAATGTTGCCTTGATAGCTATGAAAAAGTAAAAGAATTTGATTTTTCTCTCTACAGGCCTTGTTGCCCCTTTAATAATATTTCTATGTGTATTGTGTGGAATTGTGTTGACGTTTACTAAAGTTAAGTGCATTATATTTGATAAATCAGTATCTGGAAGTTTGATTTGAGTACTTTTACATTAAGCCCCAATCACGCAAATCCCTTGAATGTCCTGCTACATCCCGCAAATTTAGGTGGATGTTCCGCCAATCCTGCAAATTTAGGGCACTTTGTCTAAAAAACATTGCCCCTCTATGAAGTCTTTGGTGGTTACCCTGTTAACTGTCCCGCAATTAGCGTGTTTGTCCCTCGAATGGTCCCGCGAAATCCCGCGAATTTGATCGAAATTCGACCTATTAGCGCAATCACGCAAATTCCTTAAATGTCCCGCAAAATCCCGCGAATTTAGGCGGATGTCCCGCCAAATCCCGCGAATTTTTGGCACTGGGTCTAAAAAATCTGTCCCGCGAGAAAATCTTTGGGGGTTGACAGTACTGTTATTGTTGCAAAGAATATTACTCAGTGGCGTAGCATTGGCATTTCTTGAGTGTAAGCCACATGTGAGCAAAGTTTTAAAATACAAAATTTCGACTTATATGGCTAAGAAAATGGGAATTATTGGCCAATTTTATCCATTTTTAAAGTATGTGGCAATTCAATCTCAAAAATCAACTTTTCTCTTTTTGAGAGTATGTCACGGCGTTATATGCATATATGACTCTACGGCATTGTTACTGATTTATATTGGAGAGTGTTTAAGTAGAGGGTGCTAGTGAAAATTATTAGTTGCTCATATAGATAACAACTGATAAAAATGCAGTTATGTGAGGAAAATTCAAGCACATTGCTTTTTTTATAATTATATATTTTCACTTTGTTCATACCACCATTTGGATGACTTGCATTTTGCATCATTGTTCAGCAAGAAGCATT